ACTGGAGGAGACGCAGTGGTCAGTGTCTACAGGCTCGACCCCGGCCGACGTGTAAACGTGGCCAAGTGTCGGCCTGTCCGAGCGTCCGTGCAGTGGGTCACCCGCTGACGCGCAGGAGTGAACTGGTGAACCCCCGCATCCTGTAGGTCAGCACCACTCACCAAGTTCGTAGAGACCGAGGGGAAGTAAAGACCGGACAGGGTGCCAGAGGGGGCCGCCAGACACAGGAGGACAGTAGAGTAGTGAGCAAGGATAGGACCCCCAGAGGGGTCTGCCAGAGAGACTGCAACTGGCCGGCCAAGCGGCGTGAGTGTGGTGCGGTCTCGAATGAAGGAGCGAGAAGCCCCCGAGTCAAGGGTGAAGGTGTGGGAGGCCAAAGCCGACGCAGTACCCGAGAGAGCAGACTCACCAGCACTTGAGGGAGCAGACGCACGAGCACATAGAGCAGCACCCTCGCTAGCACCTAGAGCAGCAGCCTCACCAGTACCTAGAGCGGCAGTCTCAATGCCCGGGTCGGGCGGAAAACACCGGTAACAGTCACCCTCATCACGAATAGTCACAGCATACATGGCAGCAAGAATAGCATCAAAGTCAAGGTCAAAGACAGCTACTCCCGCCCTAGACAGCTCACCCCAGCGGGGGATCTCCGTGGCCTCCGGGAACTGGTGACGCCAAGCGTCCGTCAGGCGGCCAAAGCAGCGCTGGGTGGAGTGCGCACCCCCGCACTGCTCACCCGCGCGGTCGCCGGTGCGTAGGACGTAGGTGCACGGACCAGTACCCCCACCCCGCTGGCGTGCAGCGTAACACTCACGGAGCTGCTAAGGGGAGGGGATGTCACAAGTGCGGTGCTGCTGCTGCTGCTGCTGGCGCTGACTACCACCTGAGCCGACCCTCTGCGCAGCGCCACCTCGACTAGCTCCACCTCCTCCACCACCGCCACCTCCACTGCCGCCACCTCTGCCACCACCTCCGCTCCCACCGCCACCGCCGCCGCCTCCGCCTCCACTGCCGCCACCGACACCTCCACCCCCGCCACCACCCCCACCGCCACCCCCACTCCCTCCGCCGCCTCCACTGCCGCCTCCACCGCCCCCGCTAGCTCCTCCAGCGCCCCTGCCCCCCTTGCCCTTGCCAAGGCGGCGTATCCCGCTAGTGGTAGACGCCGCACCGACCGACTCAAGCCCAACGAGGTCGGCCGCAGCTGCAGAGGTGACAGAGGGCAAAAGGGGGGAGGGGGAACACCCCTCAATGATGGGGGTGCGAGGGTCACCACAAGAGGCTCCTACAGCGACTATGCTCTTCTCCGCTGCTAGGAGGGCCTTCTCGCGGAGGTCAACGGTGAGGGTGGTGGGGCAAACTGAGAGGAAGTGGTCCCTGAATACGCGAAGGGAGTCAGGGAGGCGGGTGACTATGTAGTAGAGAGTGATGTTCATGGGGGGGGGGGGGGTTCTTGGCGCATAACTCAGCAGGATGCGCAGCGCGGTAGCGAGTGTCACTAGTGCGGAGGTGCGTAATGAGGTCAGCGACTGTGGGAAAGGCAGCAAGGTCAGGGAAGAGGTACGGTACCATGAGGCGGCTCAGTGCAGCAGTGGCAGGGGAGGAGTAGCGTGCAACTATAGCGTCGTACAAGGTCTGAGCACTCTTGTACTGGCTAAAGTTCGCACGCTCAGAGGTAGGCAGGTGGCGGCGCAGAGCAAGACGTGCAGCAGCATCGCGTGTGGCCCACTGTGAGCGAACAGTGGTGTTAGCATCAGCAGCAGGGGCAGGAGAGGCACCAGAGGTGAGGTCAAAGAGGGAGAGACCGTCTGCCCTATCGCACGGTAGGAAAAGCTGCAGGTCATCTATCCAGACACCAAAGTCAATGGCCCGACTCTCAGCGTCAAAAGCGAGGACACTAGGGGTAGCCATGACAGCAGTAGACTAGTAGCGCGAACAGTGGGGTAAGGGCAGTGCAGTGACAGAGGCGCTGCTCTTACCGGACAGGGCGGCTCGGCGGGACGGCAGCTCGGGCGGCTCAGGTGGCGCGGCGGCTCGTGCGGCTCGGGTGGCGCTAGCGGCTCGGTAGTAGTTCGGCGGGGCCGCGTGAAGGCGGGGTCGGGGCCGGGAAGGGCGTGCGACGGGGTCAGTAGGGGCTGGGCCGGGGCCGGGAAGGGGCGGCGCCGGGGCCGTAAGGTAGGCGACGGGGCCAGCAGAGACTGGGCCGGGTCGGAAAGGGCGGCGTCGGGGCCGAGAAAGGGCGGCGCCTGAGCAGGGAAGGGCAGCGACGGGGCCGCAGGGCTAGGCGACGGGTGTCAAAATATTATCTTATGTTCTAGCCTGTAGTGGGGTGCTCTATAGCGAGTACAACCCTTCTAGGGTTTGCTATTTGTATCCTCATTCTTGCTAGTTCAATCCTCTTTCTTTCTTCTAATTTTGTCATGCTATCAGAGCAGGTCGATCCCCTTGGATCGATCCTGTGGGTGGGTTACCACCTCGCTTCCGCTGCTACTTTTCCTTCCCGCCGTGCGCCCCGAGGCGCGCGGCGGTTTTCTGCCCGCCGTGCGCCCCGAGGCACGCGGCGGTTCTCTGCCCGCTGTGCGCCCCGAGGCGCGCGGCGGGCGTCTGCCCCGTCGTTCGTCGCGTCGCCTTCTGGAGGCACCGCGACGGGCGACGGGGACCCGTTGCGGCCCCGTTGCCCGACCCGTCGCGGCCGCCCGCCGCCCTACCTTCGCACCCACCCGCCGCCCTACCTTCGCGACAGACGACGGGAGGGGCGAGCTGTGGGGTGGCGGGTATTGGGGTGGCCGGTGTGCTTTCCTCCCTTTGCTCCTCCTCCTCCTTTGTCTCCCACTTTTGCAGCTGTCGCTGAGGGGGGTGGTTGTGTGGGAGATTGGGGTTTCGGGTTTAAGGGGGGTGCGTGGGAGTGGAGCTAGCGGTGGAGCAGCGGGTGTGTATCAGGGGGGTGGGACTGTGTGCGGGAGGATGAGCGGAGGTTGCCAGTTTGTCGTCAGCAGCACCTGTAGTCCGGGGCGCTGTCCCGGTAGCCCAGTGAGCTAGACTTCTACGCCAGCCGCCCGTGGGTCCGTTGCCCGTCTGCCGCTACTTGAGCCACGGGGCCTGTTACTCCTGTAGTCCGGGCGCTGTCCGGTAGCCGCTGTGCCAGTCTGCCTCCTGTTGCCCGTGTGTCTGCAGCTTCAGCCGTCGCCTCCTATCTCCTTTCCCCTCACTCTCTCTCCTCCTCCTCACTTGCCCGTTGTGACTACCACTAGCTTTGCTCATAATTGTGAACTCTAAACTATTTCTTCTTGAACTTGTGCTCAGATTGTGTGGTGACATTGTGATCCACCCTGAGCTTGTACTGCTTTGCCTGCTCTGCTGATTACACCTCACTTTGGCTATGGGGGTGTGTCAGAATATTATCTTATGTTCTAGCCTGTAGTGGGGTGCTCTATAGCGAGTACAACCCTTCTAGGGTTTGCTATTTGTATCCTCATTCTTGCTAGTTCAATCCTCTTTCTTTCTTCTAATTTTGTCAACGGGGCCAGTTGGGGCGGGGCCGGGTCGCGAAGGGCGGCGTCGGGGCCGGGAAGGGCAGCGCCAGGGCCGCAAGGAGGCGACGGGGCCGCAGATAGGCGACGGGGCTGCAGGTAGGCGTTGGGGCCGCAGGTAGGCGACGGGGCCGCAGGTAGGCGACAGGGCCGCAGGTAGGCGACGGGGCCAGCAAGGGCGGGGCCGGGTCGGGAAGGGCGGCGCGAGGGCCGCGGGGTAGGCGATGGGGCCGAAAGGGCGGCGAATCGGGGCCGCGAAGGGCGGCTCGAGGGCCGCGGGGTAGGCGACGGGGCCGCTAGGGCGGCGGATCGGGGCCGTCAAGGGCGGCGCGACACAGTGAGAAAGGGGGAGCGCGACTCGGGCAAGGGCTGAGCGCGCTGTGGGCAGGAAAACAAATCGAATCGGTGGGCCCTAGGAACAGTTCCCACGAGGGAACCTGCTCGATACCATGAGAAAACTGAAACGAGAATGAATGCACTATGAAAGAGTTGGGTACAAGTACTAACCCTAATTGGGTTGTACCCCATATGGGCTACCCCACTACAGCCTACACAAAAGCATAAGCTATAATGTTCTGACACAATGAACGAAGGCATGAGCGAATAATATATAACGAAACTATAGTGGTAACGGTAATAAACTGTGGTTGACGCGCGATGGGCCTGGAACTTAGGTTGGGAAAATGTCGAAGCGGAGGCCCGGAGCGCGGGTTACCCGCCGAGCCGTGAGGTCGGGGTGCGACGTGCGAAGGTGGCGGGAGGATTGTCGATGCGAGGGTTGCGAGTGGTAACGGTGCTGATTGTGGTGCTACAATGGTGTACGCGCTGAGCAGGGACGCGAAGTAAGGAAAAGGAATTTTCCTTAAAAAGGGAAACTGATGTCAGTTGAAGCAGCTACATAGACTTCATGAGTGGATTGAATTCTCTATGCTTTCATGATTTTTTTCGCATGATTTTTTTCATCAATACACCCGAGATGAATTTTCTTCTTAATTTAAAACCTGATCTCCCTTACTCCTGGTTGAAGCGCGTTAGCATTTAGTGGGTACGGTAAATTGTGGTCCCAAGCGAGGCGGACCCTTCTGGCCCAGAATCTAGGAATAGGGTACAGTGCGCCTCCACTCGCGTCTCCCTCACGACAGTTCCGTCCCAATTCGAGTTCAACCAATCCCAACCATTTTCACAACCCAGCCAAAGCAACCGAACTTAAATCTTTTCAAAAACTCAAGGACCGTGATAAATCGATCTGTTTCCCCTAGAAAATCTCCTGACTTCGTTTCCCTTATCCAACGAGCAACCGACCTTATCCAGAAATTCGTCCTCCTGGATTTCCTTCCACCTTGCCGAAACAGCCAAATATTCTGTGTTTGCCTGAAACTCTTACGCTGCAGAATTCATTCGCTTCTGGTGGTCCATTTGATCACATTGCACGTTATTTCCCCTGCGGCTGCTAGGTTCAGCCTCGACGGAGAAATGGATCGCGATCAAGCGCTGCGGCGACTTCAGGTTTACGGTCGCCATATCGCACCCGCCTATTCGACCCCTCCAGAAACCACCAATAACGAGGCTGCTAACAACGAGTCCCAGCTGAACCTGCAACCCTGCAGTAACAACAGCGATCGCAGCGGCGCGACCGGCGTGTATGCTTCAGCCACAGGAAAGCCGTCTAAGTATGCGTTAATGCACGGCGAGGTGTCGAGCGCGCCGGTAGTGTGGCAGCCGGGTCGCATCGAGGGGCCTCCGCTCCAAGACGTTCTTTACGAGACGGCCGTTGGAGAGGGGATCGCCAAGGTATAACCGATGTGCTGCCTCCTTTGGAAAACTGTTTACCAAGGGACGTGCATTCGTGAAGGGAGTGCCACAGTGGTATTACTAGGAAAAGTGTCGCCATTCGTCGTCTAAGAGGATCGCCTGATAACCACCTCAACACCCTCCCGCAATCCTGACCGTCAGATCACGATCAACCGACCCGAGAGGAGGAACGCTTTCCGGCCGGAAACGGTGAAGGAGCTGAAGCGCGCGTTCGACGCTGCGAGGGACGATGTGACCGTTGGAGTGATCATCTTCACCGGCAAGGTGAGAAGCTCAACACAAGGCGATGGTGAGATGAAAACACAGGCCAGGCGAGCCTTTCAACGCAAGCTGAGTCTACTAAGAGTGACCAGGCCGCGAGGGGGAACAACCGAGAACGGAATTCCACCAACCCGTTTCTAGCTTTTCACCTTTTCTCGTCCTTTCGCACCGTCCCTGTTGTCTCTCAGGGGGACCTGTCATTCTGCAGCGGCGGAGACCAGGCTGTGAGGGGCAAGCACGGATACGTCGGGGGCGACCAGGTGCCGCGCCTCAACGTGCTGGACCTGCAGGTGTGCTATTCAGGAGAAAAAAGGGGAGGGGGAGGGGGAGAGGGAGGAGGAGGGGGAGGGGGAGGGGGAGGGGGAGGGGGAAGGACCCTATCATTGTGTGCACATGTGTGTGGGGGGCGACCAGGTGCCTCGACTCAACGTGCTGGACCTGCAGGTGTGCTTTTCAGGAGAAAAGGGGAAGAGGAATGGGAAGGGGAGAGGGGGGGGGGGGGGGAGGGGGGGGGGGGGGAGTAGGACCAGGAACCACAATTGAATATAAATGCTCTCATACTCATTCCAGACACCTCTCGCTCCCCCCTATCTTGCTGTCGCTGCATTCCCCCCTCCCTTCCCCGTACCATGATCCCCCTGATTCTCTTATCACCTGACTCATAATGAGATTTGCTGCTTTTTTAGGCGCCCCAAAACGATCTTCTTATCACCTGCCTATGACGGTGGCTCCCTCTTCCCCTCCATTTTCCAACCCTTCCTCCCCCCTACCACTTTCCAACCCTTCGCCACCCCATAACCCCTCCAATTCTCTTGTCCACCGGCTCATAATGAGGGTTGCGCTCCCTCCTTCCCCTCCTTCCCCTCCGCCACCCTCTCCTTTCCACCACGTTCGACCCTCCCCTTTCCACCACGTTCGACCCTCCCCTTTCCACACTTTCCCCCTCTGCCGCTCGTGTCACTGCAGGTTCAGATTCGGCGGACTCCCAAGCCAGTAATCGCCATGGTAAGTCAATGATTTCCCACGTGATAAAGTCCGTCCAACTGCATGTGTTGCACGTGTTGCATGTGCTGCGCTGCTGCGTGTTGCGTGTCCCTCGTTCCTCAAGAGCATGCATCAGTTCTGCTCTGGTCTTCAAGCATTTCTCTTCTGCGTTCCCTCCCTCCATCCGAGTGCAGGTTGCAGGGTACGCCATAGGAGGAGGCCACGTGCTGCATCTGGTGTGTGACATCACCATTGCTGCTGACAACGCTGTGTTCGGTCAGACCGGCCCCAAGGTGAGGGGGGCGCTTGACGTGGGTCAGGGCCTGAAGGTGAGGTGACGCAGGGAGTGAAGGTGGGGCAGAGGCAGACGCTGAAGGTAGGTCAGGGGCAGAAGGGTACGCCATAGGGGGAGGTTACGCGCTGCATCTGGTGTGTGACATCACCATTGCTGCTCACAACGCTGTGTTCGGTCAGACCGGCCACCTGGCTTGCTTGTAACTGTGCCTGATCATCTGGCCCTGTTGGTCAAGCACAGTTACAAGCAACCCACCTATGCCCCTGTTGCTGTTCCCCGTTGCCCTGCATTATCTGCCCTTCTCCCCTTACAGGTGGGCAGCTTTGATGCGGGGTATGGCTGTTCTATCATGTCCCGAGTCGGCTCTTGCCCGTAACCAATGCTTCCTCATATTAGTCGTTCCCCCCTCAATAACTGCTCCTTGTTCCTACCAGGTGGGCAGCTTCGATGCAGGGTACGGCAGCTCTATCATGTCTCGCTTCGTGCCCATCACTGTAACCCTCGCCTCACCTATGCTCTGTTAACGCCCCTCACGAGTCACCTTCTCTGTTATCCCTCGCCCCTCCCAGGTGGGCAGCTTCGATGCGGGGTACGGCAGCTCTATCATGTCTCGCCTTGTGGGTCCCAAGAAGGCGAGGGAGATCTGGTTCCTGGCCAGGCACTACACGGCCACACAGGCACTCGACATGGGGCTTATTAATACCGTTGTGCCGGTGAGCGCTCTTAAGCACTGCTATTGCCATGCTGGCGCCAGTGTTGGTGTGCCTCGGTGCGTGCTGCATTAGGCAGCAGAGGGAGATCTGGTTCCTGGCCAGGCACTACACGGCCACACAGGCACTCGACATGGGGCTTATTAATACCGTTGTGCCGGTGAGCGCTCTTAAGCACTGCTATTGCCATGCTGGCGCCAGTGTTGGTGTGCCTCGGTGTGTGCTGCATTAGGCAGCAGAGGGAGATCTGGTTCCTGGCCAGGCACTACACGGCTGCTCAGGGGCCCATCAATACCGTTGTTCCCGTGAGTGTTTCTTGTTTCTGGTCAACACTCTTGCTCGACAAGGTTTGCTGTTAAAAGGTAGCAGCAGCCTGAGGGAGATCTGGTTCCTCGCAAGGCACTAGACACCCCCGCACTCCTGACACTCTGCGCATCCCTTGCCTGAACTCAGTTTTCTTTCTTATGCCCCTAAGTATGCTACTTACCTGATTCAAATAATGTTTATTGTTTGGGAGAATAACCTTTTGCCCCTCAACTAACCTTTGAACTTCTGTCCCCTCCGCTGTGTGAATCATCAGCTGGCAAGTCTGGAGGCAGAGACAGTTAAGTGGTGCCGGGAGATCCTAAGGAACAGCCCCACAGCGCTGAGGGTGCTCACTCTGGTCCCCTCGACTAACCTTTTAACTTCTGTCCACTCCCACACATGAAACGTCAGCTGGCGAACTTGGAGCAGGAGACAGTTAAGTGGTGCCGGGAGATCCTAAGGAACAGCCCCACGGCGCTGAGGGTGCTCAAGTCGGCAATCAATGCAGTGGATGACGGCACCGCTGGCTTGCAGGTGGGCTGTGGGTGATGTGTTGGTGACTGTGTCATGTGCATGGCATGGCATGCAGGTAAGGGATGCACTATACAGCACACCAGTGAGTGAAAGAATAGCCCCACGGCGCTGTGGGTGCTCAAGTCAGCAGTCAATGCAGTGGATGACGGCACTGCTGGCTTGCAGGTGGGCTGACATGAATGTGTGGGTGATAAGTCGTGTGCTGGCTTGCACACAGCAGGTTATGTGTCTACGGGATGAAGGAACAGCCCCACGGCCCTGAGGGTGCTCAAGTCGGCCATCGATGCAGTGGATGATGGCACTGCTGGCTTGTAGGGTAAGTTGAGATGCGTGTGCCATGGCCAGGTCTCATGTGCATAGCATGGAGGTGATGTGGCATGTGACTGATATGCAGTAATGGAGGCAGTATTCCACACATAATGAGATGAGGGAACATTCTCACGGGTTGAGACAGGTGTAAACATGCTTACAGGCGTCGCATACTGGTGGTGTGCCGTTTGTATGCCATGCAAGTGATGTGTCGTGTGCCTGCCACATGTCATATGCCCGCTCTCTTTCTTCGCTGTTATCTTCTACTTGAGTAGGAGCTGGCTGGAAATGCAACGCTGATTTTCTACAACACTCCGGAAGCAGTGGAAGGCCGTGAGTCATACTTGAGCGGGCGTGCACCGGATTTTTCCAAGTTCCCACGGCTTCCATAGGCACCAGGTTACTATTCAGCTCTAAATGCTCTTTCACTTGGGGTGATGAAGTTCCAGCTGTCAGGCAAAAAAAATGTGCAGCACTTATCGCTTCCATAATTGTTGTCCTCTATATACCACCGTAATAGTTGCTGTAGGTGAACAGTTTGTTATACTAAAACCGAAGCCGTGAACCCCTCTTTGGGTGATGATTTTGGGGAGGTCAACCAGCGCACCGCGTTGGATGCTTTCGCCGCAGGCCACACCTGTGGTGGTGGTCGGTTTGCCGTGGTTCCGTCCAGCTCGGGCAGAATTCGGTGGGATGGGATGGGATCCCTTAGGGCACGCTTGGCGGTTTGCTGGAACGATTCGATATGAGCACGCTAGGCGCTTTCGTTTTTCCAACGGCCAATATCATTGATGCTCAAATTATGCCAGGCGCGGTTCGCGAACGTAATCAACCGACATTTTCCTGGTAGAGTAACTACATTTACTGGATGTTCTATTTTTAAGCACATTTCCAAAACAAATCGCCCCCAGCACCTCAACTGCACGTACCCAACAAAGCAGGAAAAATACTAAAACGCTTGGATATTAACCTTTAATAAGCCTTCAAGTGTTTAAAACTATGCCTCGCGCTTGGATTGTCTCAACGAACAAACGACACCGTCCAGCAGAGATTACTGTCCTCAGACAATTAAAAATAAACTGAATGCGAAAAGGCATCCAGTCCTGATGACATCAACCTTAAACACCTTGTCGCATGACGTTTAAGATTGGTGCCTCTGTTACATAGCATGCCATTCGATGTGGTTTTAATCTTCTTCTGTTCTAGGTCAGCAGGTCCATAGTCGACGGAAGGTTGACGGTTCGACCCCGTTCCGATGAATTATTTCCATTCGGCATCCTTTTCGCTAGTAGTCGCAATTTACGCTTGATACAATTCTTATTTCTTGGGTAGCTCTTCGACAGAATTGTTCATTGTTAACTTAAGTGACTGTGTTTTGTTTCTGTCACATTTCAGAAGTGTTATTAGCGTAAAAGTGTGATCGAAAAGCGACGACCAATCAGCGTTGAGAAATCGAGGTGAGTACCGATGCAAACTTTCTCTGGCATACTTTGAGTACACTATCAATGATATTGGCCGTTTTTCCAAGTCCTGCCGTGCCCAGCGTTTACTGTACCGTTCTTGTTGGGGAATGCGAGGGGCGCTGCAACTGGGCTGGGCAACTTGGTTTGAAAGTTGTCGTACGGATGCGACAAGGCATGTCACAACCAACCACGTCGTGCTTCGTTGCGGCGAAAGTTGTGGAGTCGCCGATAGCGGGCAGTCGCAACACGAAAACAAAAGAAAGCAAAACTCGTTTCGTCTTGCGTCGTACGTGGAAGCAAAACCAGGACGAGCGAACTTCGCCTTCGCACACTGCAATCGACAGCCCTGTCTGCCCTCACGTACGAAACTCATAATACTGTATCGGTAACCCGGGGTTACCCGGACGGTTCCCAAGGTTCCGTCTGACCGACCGCCGCCGCCATGGGCAGTTGCTCTCGCGAAGTGGCTGTGACTGTCCCATATGACCATGCTGTACTGTAATTTCCTCCAAACCGAACCACTCTATCTCCCAACCTATCCCTCCCTCCCACTCTCCCCACAGGGAGTTTCTTTTGTGGCAACAGCCGAGCAAGGATGAACTGAACGGTTTACCCGCTCCTCGTTCTCGCAGCCTGAACCAGCGCGAGCCTCCATTACGCCAGTCGCATCCCATCTTTCCCTTTCTTGCACGGTGTCCCATGTTTCGCGCGCTAACCCCAACGGTAATCTTCCTGTGTGTTCCTGATCACCGCACTCACCGTCTCATCAGCATGGATCGAGAAAGACCGACGGTTTTCGCTGGAGAACTTTTGAGAGTAGACTTCAACGGTAGGAACGGAATTTAGGCGCGAAATTCAGGCCACAATAGAATTTCGTCGATCCTTATCAGGCACGCTGTTTCAAAGCCAGCTGCTTCTGGTAGCCGTTCTCATCATGAATATCGATAGCGGCCGTTCACTCTAGCCGAGCGGAAGGCGACCGTGGTCCACGGCTGGACGTAGAACCAGCAAGGTTCTTCGTAGGCCGTAGTTGGTACGTCTGAGCCGAATCACACGTGATTTAAAACTCTCCATGAAAGCAAGTATTTCCGAGGTCTGTGTCGCGAGATAACGATGCAACCCCTTTTGACAACGACGAGGCCGCAGAGAAGGCGGGGACTGCGGCGGGAGTCGCTGCGTGGAGTAGGCTCATCGCCGTGTTACTACGTTAGTAACATGCAGGCGTATATCGGGAGGTTTCGTTGTAATTCCCTGACTCTCACAATAGCGCTGCTCGTTACCGTGCTCTCCGTCTCCTCCGTCCTTCTTGAACAGCCACTCCTGCTGCTCGTCCGAGCCGCAGGTGAGAGGCCAGGTGCAGGTGCAGGTGAGAGGCCAGGTCAATGGTCAGGTGCTGGTGTCAGTCGAATCCGATTGTGAGTCATAACCTGGATACTCGATAAGGAGACGACTTTTGAGGCGCCTCAAGAGTCATAACCTGGATATTCGATAAGGAGACGACTTTTGAGGCGCCTCAAGAGTCATAACCTGGATATTCGATAAGGAGACGACTTTTGAGGCGCCTCAAGAGTCATAACCTGGATATTCGATAAGGAGACGACTTTTGAGGCGCCTCAAGAGTCATAACCTGGATATTCGATAAGGAGACGACTTTTGAGGCGCCTCAAGAGTCATAACCTGGATATTCGATAAGGAGACGACTTTTGAGGCGCCTCAAGAGTCATAACCTGGATACTCGATAAGGAGACGACTTTTGAGGCGCCTCAAGAGTCATAACCTGGATACTCGATAAGGAGACGACTTTTGAGGCGCCTCAAGAGTCATAACCTGGATATTCGATAAGGAGACGACTTTTGAGGCGCCTCAAGAGTCATAACCTGGATATTCGATAAGGAGACGACTTTTGAGGCGCCTCAAGAGTCATAACCTGGATATTCAATCAGGTTGTGGTGTAGGTGACTTATGAGACGTCTCATTAGTTGTGAGTCCTAAACTCGATCAGTCTGTGGCGTCGGTGCTTGTTCTGCTGCCTCTTGCTGCTTATATTCCTCCATCCAAACCTCTCGAACGTTTGCCTCTTGCTGCTTATATTGTACATACGTTCTGAACCTCTCTCTTTCGGACTGTTCCCCAACGTCTACACTCCTTAACGCCTTTGTCTCCCTGCCCTTCCCTTTCCCAGGCCACAGGAGCGAGCCATCCCGCCACTCGTCTTTTGAGGCGCCTTATAACTCTCTCTCTCTCGTCCTCAAAAGCCTTCACTCCTTCACGCCTTTGTCTCCCTGCCCTTCCCTTTCCCAGGCCACAGGAGCGCGTTTCACGAGCCGGCCCGCCACTCGTCGCTGTACCACCTGCATCAGAGCACTGGTGCATGGCATAGAAATATAACCGCTTTTACCGAATCAGCGAGTTCATACACTAACGAGGATGGTTTCAGATACGATACGGACAGTCCACGATCTGTTACAATACAGTCGCATTCAGAGTCGCCTTCAATACGGTCACACCGCGCACAGGCACAGCAACAGACACAGTCACAGCTTTTGAGATGGGCCGAGCCTCAGGAGTGGATGAATCCGTGGCTGACGCAGCAGGTTCGGTCCGAGCCTGCAACGATGGCTTGGTTGGAGGAGTCCCTGGCGCGGGACGCTCGTGCTGTACCTGCAGAGCTACTTTCTTCCGAGCCTCAATCTGCTGCCGAGCCTGACTCTGCTGGCTTTGCTTCAGTGTTTGCTGCTGATGCTAGCACTAAGCAAGGTGAGGTTAGGTCACTGTGCTAATGCAATGTTGACGTGGCACAACGCAGCGTCGCTGCCAATCTTTTCAGTTGCCACCTTGCCGACCATTATCATAGTTGCTATCCTATAGCAACACCCCACCCCATCCTATAGAATCCTCTCCTCAACTCTCCCCTCTTCCCATGCCTCCTCTCCTGTAGGAGGATCAGCATGCCCCCTCCTTGCCTCAGCCGTTCGTTCTAATCCGGGAGCACGGCTAAGGGGAGAAGGGGTGTGGTGTGATGCTCCCCACTGGTCTCAGCTCAGCCGTGCAAATCCTCATCCCAGGACTTGCAAAGACACCTCGCATCACACCCCTTCTCTCCCCAACCCCCCTCTCCCTCCCTCCCTCCCTCCCTCCCTCCCCTTTTCCTTCAGGATCAGCGTGCTCCCCCCTGGCCTCCGCTGTTCTAATCCGCGTCACCACAGAGGCCGATTTCAAGCAACGCCGGCTCTATCCCCCCTCCACCACCGTTATTCTCGAGCTTCAGAACCACGTCACTCTCAAGCGAGGGCTCCTGTTTGGGCCCAAATATGCGTGCACAATCCTGCGGTCGGGTGGAGGGGCCAAAGGGAGGGGGTATCGGCTGTACGTGCATCGAGTGGATGAGCCGATACTGCGTATATGGAACACCAGCAACGTTATTGTGTACCGTGTGCAGGTGGGTTGAGAGCGGTGCTGTGCGGTGCTGTGTGGTGGTTTCATGGTGCGGTATGCGGTGGTGTGCGGTGCTGCGTGCAGGTGAGAGCGGTGTTGTGCGGTGTTGCGCGGTGCTGTACCTTTTCCTTCTCGGGATTCTCTTCCTCTGACTAACATGGTCCCCCTCACAGATCTCACAGCCATTCCAAGCCTACTCGACCTTGTGCCCCAAGCTCCACACACCCTTCTCCCCGCTTCACCCGTCATTCTTCGCCTTTGCCTACGCCACAGCCCTTTCCCCCTCTCTCATATGTCGCAGCCATTCCGAGCCTACTCGCGCGCATGCCTCGGGGAGATCCTTGACGTGGGCCCTCTTATCACCTGAAAGGGCGTCATCTGCCCTTTCATCCACATCCCACCCTTTTCCCTCTTTTCCCTCTTTCCCCCCTCTTTTCTCTCCGTTCCCTCTTTTCCCTCTTTTACCCTCTTTTCCCTCTTTTATCCTCTTTTCCTTCCTTTTCCTTCCTTTCCCTCTTTTCCCTCCTTTCCCTCTTCTCCCTCTTTCCCCTCTTTTCCCTCTTTTCCCTCTTTACCCTCTTTTCCCTCTTTTCCCTCTTTTCCCTCTTTTTCCTCCTTTCCCTCTTTTCCCTCTTTTCCCTCATTTCCCTCTTTTCCTTCTTTTCCCTCTTTTCCCTCTTTTCCCTCTTTTTCCCTCTTTTCCCTCTTTTCCCTCTTTTCCCTCTTTTTCCCTCTTTTCCCTCTTTTCCCTCTTTTCCCTCTCGTCCCTCTTTCTCCCCCCACCCACATGCAGATGTCACAGCCGTTCTGAGCCTACTCACCCATATGCTCCAGGAAAATCCCTGAAGTGGGCACAGACGTCATCTGATTGAACAAGTGTTTTGACACGTCTCAAAACACTTCTTCAATCCCTGAAGTGGGCACAGACGTCATCTGATTGAACAAGTGTTTTGACACGTCTCAAAACACTTCTTGAATCCCTGAAGTGGGCACAGACGTCATCTGCCCTCTCATCCTCGCCCCTCTCCTCTCCCCTCAAATCTCCTCTCCGCTCCCCTCTATATTGCCCTCCCTCCTCCCCCTCACTCACAGATGTCACAGCCGTTCCGAGCCTACTCAAAGCCATGCCCCAGGGAGATCCCTGACGTGGGAACAGACATCATCTGCCCTCTCATCCACGTCTACCGCTCCTACGGCGTTCAGATCGTCAAGGTGAGTCTGCTAGTAACGAGTACACTGGTTGATAGTTCCCCAGGGCAATCAGCATGTGTACCCTCTTATCCACATCTACTGCTTCTCCGGCGTTTAAATTGTTTCAGTGGGTCTGCTAATCGCGAGTGCAAAGGCTGATAGTGCGTCAGGGAAATAAGCGTTTGAGCCCTCTCATCCACCCACATCTACTGCTCCTAAGGCGTTCAGATCGTCAAGTTGAGTCTGACATGACACACGTGTGTCTTGAGTGCATGCGCATGCGCATACACACACCTTCATGCCTTGTTAAATCCCCTCGTCCCTCCACCCTTCTCTTGCCATATCCCCCCCCCCCCCCCCCTCCTCCCCTCCCCTCCCCAACCAATCCCAGGGATACACGTTCGGCCGAGTGGATGTGATTCGAACAATGCACAGCCGCATTGACAGCATGAAGATGACTGCAGTGTCTGATTTCAAGAGGGGCAACGGGGTGATTCGAGTGATGCTGTCGGGGTATGGGCCGCTGCTGGTGCGCTGCTATGTCTACGTCACCAACAATGAGATCTATGGTAGGTGGATGGGGTGTGGTGTGGTGAGGCAAGGTGCAGTGTGGCATGATACGGTACATGCCCCTGTTGGTGCGCACATACATCTGCTTCACCAACAATGACATCTATGGTATGAGGAGATGATGGGGCGTGGTGTGGTGTGGTATGGTGTGGGGTGGGTTGGCAAGGTACTGTACATGCCCCTGTTGGTGCGCACATACATCTGCCATCACCAACGATGAAGTCAGCTCTGGGGTGGGAGGAGGGTTTGAATACATACCATGGTGCGGTGTGGTGTATGGTGTATGGTGTGGTGTGTGGTGTGGAGTGGTGTGAGGTGGTGTGCGGTGGTAAGGTGTGGTGCGGTGTGCTATGCTCTCGTACGGGTCCCTACATACATCCACATCACCAACAATGAAAAAAATTCAAACGACCACTTGCACAACTACGTCTGGGCTGCCATCCCTCTGTGCACTATACCTGCCCCTCTCCACCCCTGTCTATCCCTCTCCACTCTTCTCCACCCCTCTCCAACCCACCCTACCAGGTGCGTACCTGCCAGTGTTGTTTCAGTTCGGTGTGGTGGGAGCGGTATTCAAGAACAACCATGTGCATGACTACGTGTGGGCTGCCATCACATGTGGCAACATGGTTCACTTGCAGGTGAGAGGAGTTGCTACAAAGGCATTGGGGAAGTGCAAGGAAAGTGTGCATGTTACGACGATTCGCGAGCATGTTACGCGCATGTGCGAAGCCTTAGTCACCAAACCCCCCCACTCCCTCCCGTTCCCTCCCTCCCGCCCTCGCCCATCCTCTCCCCTCCCTCCCAGGGCAACTGCATGCTCCACACCATCTCAGATCAGATCAGAGAACCTCGTTGAGCCTAAGGGTTGAATTGACCCACACTAACCATCTCAATCTCTCCAAACCCCATTCTATCCCTTCCCAGGGCGATTGCATGCTCACCTCCATTTCAAATAACCTCGTTGTCGCTAAGGGCCGGAATCTCACCGGCGGGGGTGATGCGACGGGGATATACTACGTAACGCACTGGAATAACCCGGGTAATCTGGCGGAGTGCAACTACATAATCGGGGGTGACCACTGCTATTACCTGGATTACGCCAGCTCGGGTGTGACTATACGCGGAGGGGCTTGTATCGGGACGGTGGATGGCATGAAGGTCAACAACGGGAAATGGTGAGTCAGCAAGGGAAATGGTGAGTCAGCAGGGGAAATGGTGAGTCAGCAAGGGAAATGGTTAGGTTAGCAAATTCAAGTAGACGATGGTTAGGTTAGCACATCACAACACACAGGTCGTTCGGTCGGTGCATGCTTCTTTTCTTACAAGCTTCTCTTCTTAGAGTGCCATGTTCCTCAATTACTACCATCCAAAGCGCTTTCCCATCCTTGCTCTGCCTGGCAGGAACCGCATTCAGCATGTGGTGATGAAGGGCACGGAGCTCACGCCAGGGTGGTGCGCGTGCCTCACTGTCACTGTGTGCAACTGCCTTAAAGATCCGGGAAACTACTGGGACCGCATGCAAGCCAAGTACTACAGCAGTGCTCCCTTCCAGCAGGTGGGTCGTGTACCCCTTATAAGCCAACTCGGTAATCTTGTAGCACCATGTGCAACTGCTTCAACGACCCCGGCAACTACTGGGACCGCATGCGAGCCAAGTAATACAGTAGTGCCGCGTTTCAGCAGGTGGGCGGTGTCTCCCTCATAACAGAGGTCATTTTTCAAATATGTCAACTAGTATATACTCTAGCATAGCATGAAGCTTTGTCCATATAATCTCAATCTTGCTGAGCCGCTTTTATGCAATAATCTGTGAGCTCTCCAGCCCGTTACACAGTCCAACCTGTGCTACACCTCAAATATCAACGTGTATTCGCTATGCTTGTTGTTTCACCAATTTTGTCCCCCTTGTTGAATGCATCCTTTTCAGAGATGGCCCTGGATGAAGAACACTTGTTCCGAGACTTCTATTAACGGGGTTAACTGTAACACAAAAGCGCCGGGCACCTTAAAGGACACGCAGACAGGCAAGTGCAGCGGGCTGCCCACAAATAATTACATCGACCTGGTTCTGGTCGATGTGCAAGATGCGGACATGAATTACCGTTACTGTGAGCAGTTGCCGAATGTTCCAAAGCTAAACACCCATCGGCATATCAATGTTACTTCCACCTCGGCACGATTCATCGATTATGCCGACGACGACTTGGGTGTTAGAAAGGGATCAGATATTTTGAAGAAACGACCAATGTTCAAAAACTGCCCCAGGAAAATAGTCGGGCCCAAGAAGGTGAGGGATGCATTTTATTATAGGTATTTTGGTATCCAAATGCCGTGGCACTTTAGATTGGTGAAATGGATGAATGGGAGTCATTTTCATGATCCTAGTTTACTTGATTAATACGTGATGCTTTCGCATTCTCATTTTACAGTCCAATTCATCCATGCGCTTGCAATGTGTACGGTGTACCTCAACGTCGTTTGACACATTTCTGTTACGGTACCATGAGTTAACCAGCATAAAGAGTGAGGTACATGCAGTGTGAGAAATACCATAGATGCTTTCCTAGCAAGAGAACCACTATACGCTACATGTATTTTCAGAACCTTTGATTCTTAGAGAAAACCTGAACAACTCATGCATTAAGTATGGGCTAAGATTCTTCGAACAATGTGTCTTCCAGACAGCAGTTTTGCAAGAACTTAGTCTCTATCTAAAACACATGTCTAGGTCCATTGGCTTACCAAGGGGGCCTCTTGTGGTGGGTGCATTCTTGTGAGTGCTGCTGACAGCTAGAATCTGATGGCAGGCAAGATTTCGCTTCGTCGCGAATCCTGCTGACAGCATTTCTTCCAGGCCCAATCACGTTCTAGAATGCCACTTTCTCCAGCCTCAGATCGACGGTCAATTACGTTTGTCCGCCTGTGCGTAACCATCCTTGCCGGACAGTGAGTTTCGTTGACCGCGGAAGGAAGAAACCGAACAGCCGCCAAAAGAACGATCTTGGTTTCACCTTCGCCTCCACCAGCTCACCTCACCAACCATCGGCACCCGCCCGTAGCCCGTGCACTAGCGTTTCGGTCACCCATAAATATTTTCTTTGTCTCTGGCCAGCAATTGTGGCTGCGAACTGGAGTGTGGCATGCTGGGCATCTTCCAAACATTTGTGCGTCAACTGTACCACCTGAGTATGCACCTGATAAAACACCACGTGATTTGCCTTTGCTTGTGTTAACAGTAACAGAACGCCATCAATGACGAGGCAGCTGCTCGTGACAGGCTCGAGGCAGTTTCACTAACCCTCAGCATTCCCACCACAAGTTGGCCGAACGCAAGGGCAGCTGTGCAAACACATTTTTCCAGGGCAGCTCCGCAAGGTGCACGCGCGTTGTCACTGTACCGTTCCATCCACTCGAACGTTTTTTTTCGACCAGGACATCCGTCTCGTCCCTCAAACCCAATACAGTAGCCGAGCCTGGTTGTATAACCCCGTTCCCCCAACCTCCTCTCTCAGTGCCCAGGACCCAGGCATCTCCCGAACCACACATCCCCCTACGCCCCCTCGCCTCCCCTTACCTGCACCCTCCATCCGCGCCCCCACCAACCAACAAACCACCTCAAGCATGCGCGGCAAACACTAAGCTCCGCACCGCATCACAACCTCCCTGTCCCCGCGCCTGTTTGTGTGGTCTCCCTGCGCTGAATCATGGTGCAAGTAGCGCGCGGAGAATATCCCTCGCACCCGCCAACCGTTCCGCACCTCTCTCCTCCTCGTCTAGTGGGGGAGAAATCTCCCGAACCAACTGGTTGCCTTGCCGCCCTTCCCTCCTTCCTCTCCCCCTCTTCCTTTGGCTCGGTCCAACCACTTCTACCCTCCCCCTCCCAGTCTCTCCTCTCCCCTCCTCACCTCTCCTCTCGCCTGCCTCTTTCATCTCCTTCCTCTCTCCTTTCCTCTCCACCCGCCTGTCTCAGACTCTCACCTCAGCACAGCATCCTCTCTTCAGCATTCTGCCGTTTTCTTCTCTTCTCCGCTTCATCAGGTTTCCCTTTCCCGTCGACCTCAGCTTACAATTCCACCCACCTATCCAATCCACACATGTCTCCCCGAGATTGCCTGCCATTTTAGAACGAGCAACTTGCTTCTAGACGAGTGAAGAGACCTGCCAAGTCTATGCAGTTGAGATGCCCTGCCGACCATTCAAGGCCTAGGGTTTGATTATTGTTGCCCGTAACGTTAGTGAGCTTCACTGGAATCTCTAGCTGTGGTCAGCTTTCGTCTGAGTTTCATGCAGCAGTTCCCTTGATTCCTCCCACTTCGCTCCTGCTTCTGTTTCTCCAATTTATTTTATTATTTATCACCGCCTCTCGCGGTCTTACTTAAGACTCGTGACCCTTCCAGTCAGCCAGCATAGGTGAGGCGAAACTTTAGCTCTTTAATCTGACACTCAAGTCTACTAATATGGCGTGCATGAGCTTCATGGATGCGCTTAGAGTAGCCGCTAAGACGAAAGAAGCTCCATCGGAATGGTTCGGCTCCAACGGGTGGCCTGCAGAATGCCAAGAGCCGATTGCCATCCCGAATCTGAAAAAGAGAAAGCAGTGCGAATCCGAGCCACCTCGGCTCAAGCCAAGGACCCTTCCCGTCTCATCCGGAGCACCTACCGGCTCCACTTCTTCCACGAAGCTTCTCGTTCTCCCCGACCTGGCAACTCTCATGCCTCGGTCCGAGCATCGTTCCGAGCCTGCTTTGGTCCGTTGCAATACATCATCTGCACCGTCTCGTCAGCCGTCGGATGCTCCTCGTTTGGTCCGTGCGTGCACCACCACCAACCGTGGGATGCGCCGAGATTCTCAGAATGACTCGCTTCCTACTCCTCAGAATGCCACGCTTTCTTCTCGGCCTGCTCACTCTTCTGGGTGTGTCACCGCTTCTCAGCACCCACCGCCATCTTCGCGTTTCGCTCCCAACGGAGCTGTCAACTTCAATTTCCATGATGCCGCTTCGGATTGGGTGAGAGCCGTTGCATCGTCGTTACGAGGAGAGTACGTCGTCGCCGAGCCGCCGGCGCCGGGACGGAATCAGCCGACAGAAGCCGTTCCAGATAAGCCTGCTCAGGGGGAGCGGAGCAAGATGGCTCAGCAGCTTGACTTCCGCATTCAGATGCAGCAGCAAGAGGACGCCAAGCACGAAAAGAAGCTCAGCCTTTCCGAAATTCTCCAGTGGGAGGCGGAAATGGTTTCGTCGGTCTGTCCCAAAGCGCGTCCCGCTCCTCCAACGGTTAAAATTCCCGTTGGTTTCTCGGATCCTCTGGAGGTGAAGCCTGCAGTGGCTGCTCCAGGTGCTGATGTGGGAGCCGAGAAATTGGACGATAAGTTATTTATTGATGAGCTGCTGATGGAATTTGGTGTGGATGAGGAGGAAGCAGCGCAGCCGCAGCAGGAGCAGGAGCAGCAGCAACTGCCGCAGGTACAAGCCGTTGATAGGCAGCCGCTTCAACAGCAGGAGCAGCAGTATCAGGAACAACGTGAGCAGCAGCAGCAGAAGTATCAGCACGCGGAGCCGCAGCAGCTGCAGTCGCAGCAACACGAGCAGCCGCAACAATCGTCAGCTATCCAGAAACGAACAGCAGCTCCGCCTCTCGTCGACGTCGCGAACGTCGCCGCAACAGCTCCGTCAATGTTCGCAGACATGTACTCGATGGCAACTCCCGCCGCTGCTCCGTGTCCCACGCCCACCGGCTGGGGCTCCAACGCGTGGGAGCCTGCCGTCCCGCCGACCCCTTCTGGCATCCCCCCCACGCCGTCTGCTCCGGCCGGCGGATTTGCTTCGCTATGGTCGGAGGCGTGGACCGACGGCTTTAACGTGGACCTGTCGAGCCTGGCTGGTCACCCGGCGCTGTGGTGACCTACGGCTGACTTCTGTTCGTTTCGACAAAATTGGATTTATTTATAATTTCATGGTGTTTCGCGCATGAGCTGCGGGAGTGGTTCATGGCAACGTGGCTGTTGATCGGACGTTCAGACGCTGCAATCTCAGCCTGTCGCCTGCCGCCCTGGTTATCGGTGTTCATTGGATGGTGGTGATGGTGGTCATTTCCTGTTCATTCCCTTCGTGAGGAGCCGTTTCATGGCTGCCCACAGTGATGACAGTACGGAAGCCTTCAGGCTGCTTAGGTCACTCACTTTAGGGCCTGTATGGCCTTGGAGTGGGTTTCTGCTGGTCTTAAAGAGGCCGAATAAGTGGGGAATCACTTTTTGTTCCATGTGCGAGATGCATCATTAATAAGGTCTCTTTGTGGATGATTTGGTGTTATCTATTGTTATTTTTTGTTGGTGCGAATTCCTGGAGAGAGCACTTAATATATGGATATTCATTGTACATTTGACCGATCTTGGCATTTTGTAGGTGACTTGCCACGTCACCTGGTGGCTTGCAGTCATCCCATAATTCGGTGGGGTTGATTTGACCTCAGAAGAGTTAACATAATTGTTCTTGTAAATTGTTTTAGACCGTATATCACCTTACTGATCCGCATTGAAACGATTTTTTATATTTGGAGTGTCGTCTGTCGCACAGCAGGTGTCGCGCGCATCCCCTCCGCCCGAGCTATTCCAATAATTCACGCTCCACCGGAGGGGGGATGAGCCAATGTGAGCCGTACGATTTTAATCGGTCACCCCATGAAAAAAAAACATTGAGCAGCTGC